AACTGATCTCTCAATTTTTCAATTATACAAGAGAAAAGCCTAGGATATTTATTTTTAGGTCTGAAGTGATGTTTATTTCTAAATGCTGTAAACTAAAATGGCTTACTACTTACTACTGGTGCTATGGATCATGCCCAGATTAACGAGGGGGCTACTAAGTAAAATGCAGACAATCTCAAGTGATTTGATTATGGATATATTTTGTAAAAACTGAAATGTTTTCTGAAAATTGAAAGATACTTGTAAGTAGCCAAGAAATTTTCTAGCAATTCTAGAACTGAAATTTAGTTGCCTATTTAATCTGAAACCTTGATCTTGACTTCATCTTTTACTTGGAAAAGCATTACTTCTTTAAGCACAAAATGAGTAGCATTTGCAGTAAGAGACAGAAATAAGATAATTAATACCAGAAAAAAGAGGAGCCTTGGTAGCATAGTGGTTATACATTGGACTGCTAACCGCAAGATCAGCAGTTTGAAGATGAGGCTTTCTGCCACTGTGAAGATTTACAGCCTCAGAAACCCTTTTCAGAGTCACTTTGAGTAGGAACTGACTCAGTGCTACCACAAGAAAAAAAAAACCTGTGGAGAGAAGAGTCAGAATGCAAATGTCAAGATTTTTTTCCTTATTATTCAGCACATACTTTGGTACCAGCTCACAACTGTATTCATTAGTAAGCTACGAATGTCACAGTTTATGTGGATGTCTATAATGATCAGATTCCAACTCACTTGCAGATTACTAAAGAAGCTGCATTTAAAAATTTTTGCTATGAATTCTTGGTAACAGATCAGATAATTATAGGATGGACTTTCCCCACATTCATCCATGCAATGGTCTGAAATACGAAAATAGCTTAAATTAAAAGGCTATTAAATATACCCAAATATATCTTTAATGTTCAGACACCTATGAAAAATTTCGTGGAAAGTTTTCTTTTTTGCATAATAGAAGTTATTATAAAGCACATATAATTTTAAAGTTGATTTAAAGCAACATAAAAGCTTCATAGTTTATCTACTTAAAAATATCATGAAATAATTATCATGAAATAATTATTC